AGTCATGCCTATAAAGAGGCTGTTTATTACTGATAACACTTCATTTGGCTAAAAGCACAAGAAATTCACACACCAACACTTCAAGTGCAAATTCTCACAGGCGGTACTTATGATACACCCTGGCATTTTCATCAGAAAAAAAGAAAGAAAATGTTGACAAAAAACCGGTAAAACAAGAGCACATTTTTGATCTACTGCTACACGGTCAGAAAAATAATTCATTCTTAACTGCATATATTTTATCTGGCATATTCAGTGACGTATACAAAGTTTATTTTAGCCTAAAACAAGAAGGCCTTACAATATATACAGACGCAGACTCTTGCTTGAGTGCCTCTTGTGAGATATATGATGAATCGTAACAGTGGACAAAAGTATATCAAATCGTATCAAGTTAGTTGTGACTCACTTGGAAGGTAGCACTGGGAGGCTCAAACTGGCACCTATACCCAGTGATATTAAGTCTACATAGATACTTTCTTGGCCTACTTGGCCAACACCTTGCTTTGAGTGTAAAATACTAGGCATTATACATAATTTTCCAAATAGGAAATATGCTCTGCTCTCTCAAAAGAAACTGAGTATTTAAGGGTGTGCGTGCTTAATGAAGATGATTTGTTATAAATTTCAGTAATGAGAACTGTTTAAAAAAACTGAACCAGAAAATTAACATTTTTGATTGTTTCTTAAACTATTAGCTGCTTTAAAATACAATCCCCTAATTCCTTTTATCACCAATGAAGCATTCTGTAATAGGTACTATACTTGGGGGAGGGTGGGAGGGTATGAAAAATAATAAAACATGGTCTCTGCTCTCAGGGAGCTGATAGTCAGATGCTCCATCTCAGTCAAGGAATGCCAATGAATTAATGAAAACAAACCGGCCAACACCTCTGACAATGAGGTTCAGTGATAACATAACTGTTTCAGGTCAGTTTAATTTGGCAGTAATACTTTCAAAGTTCAGCTTTTAAAATGCAGGGAACAGGTTAGATATGTTCTATGTTTCTATTTCTCACGTTAAGGTCGGTGTGTGTACCACCAGGCAGATGCAGCAATTGAGGAGGGGAGGGGGAGACCATCGAGAGGCCCTATGATCAACACGGTGCTCCTTTCCAGCAGCACCAGCTTCTGTGAGGACTGAAGGAATCATTTTTACATCGAAACAGTTTTATTACGGGGAATGCAAAATTCAGCTTACATTTTAATGACAGAACACGAAATTTCATGAGCAGTAGACTGCTTCTGAGTTTGCGTTGGGTCCCTTCTCCCACATATTCATCATGTTCCTCTGCTTTAGGGTTATGCTGGTGGAAAAATTTGAGAAGCAGGGCGCCTGGGTGGCTCAGACGTTAAGCGTCTGCCTTCGGCTCAGGTCATGATCCCAGAGTCCTGGGATCGAGTCCCACATCGGGCTCCCTGCTCGGCGGGAAGCCTGCTTCTCCCTCTCCCACTCTCCCTGCTTGTGTTCCCTTCTCTCGCTGTGTCTCTGTCAAATAAATAAAATCTTAAAAAAAAAAAAAAAATTTGAGAAGCAAACTTTAGCATGCCATGTGCCCTTATCTTGGTCACTTTACTCATTGTTGTATGTCCTCTTTTTAAGGTATATAGTCTTGAAATAACAAAGAGAAAAGATGGTTTAATGAACGTAACAGTATGGTTAATGTTTTAAAGTAACCAATGGTAAAACCTAATTTGGTTTTTTCAACTGGAACTAAAGAAAGTCATGCCGTGTCAAGTCCTGCAATGAAAGGTTCTCTTCTTTCCACCTGGACTTCTTATGGCTTATGGTAAGATGTTCTGGGGGACAAATGTGAAAAAAGATTTCTTCAGATTTTGTGCTTTGGATGCCCCAAGTACAAGGACACCTGAAATAAAATGTGAGATCAACTGACCATCCATTTTGATTGGTAGGACTCTTTCCTCATCAATTTCTAGAGCAATCTCAGAAAAACAAGTGAATTATAAAAGGCCATAATAAATTAGCATATAGTAGTATCCAGACGGACCCAAAAAGGCTATGAAATAGATTTAAAATTACTTCTTACAATGTCTTAAATATTCTCACAATAATGACAAAATAATCAAAAGTCAAAAAAAATCCAAACATAGTTTATGAATCAGTTTAAAGCATTCTGAATGAATACAGTTAAGATTTCTTATCAGTGAGGTAATAGAGCGATAGCTTTTCACAGTAACAAAATGTAGGAGGGCACCTAGGGAAGGAGGGAGGTAGAGAGGAAAAGGCATAAAATAAATTTATCCAAGCAAAATTTGGATTTTTCAAGCATCACAAACATCAGTGGAAAACACTGGAAAGAAATACCAGTAGCAGCAGTTCATAGAACAATTTCTCCATTAAACTCCAGCTAATATCTCTGTTGCATCCACTCCAGAAGCAACCTCCTAAAGAGACAAGAGGCCTATTTTCTATATAAGGATATTCCTAAAGTATCCAATCTCTTAGAACCTCTCTGTCTGCTGAAGTTACTACATGCAAAAAACAAAACCCTCAAATATCCTATAATGCTATACATTCTTCAAGATGAACAAAATGGTGTTCAAGTCTCACTTAATTTGCCAGGTTAAACTAAAAAGAATATCTAAGCAGGTCTCTGTGCAGTGAATAAAGACTGCACTCATGCATCTACTACTCAACATATACAAAAACTCTCTTGTGAGCTAAATTCTTCTAGATAGGGAGCGAAACTCAAATGTTACTTTCAGTGCTCTCTATGACATCATCATTGTTCCAACCTGAGTTTTAAAAAAAAATTTCGGAAGAAACCTTTAAAAGACATTTAGTATATCCCTTAATATTTAAATCTGTCATTTAGTTTTTTTGAAAAGGTCCTTATTCTTTTTTCTGTCCTCACTGAAGATAGAGAACAGTTTGTCATATTACTTCTTACTTTGAGTCCTTTAATAAAAGATTCAACTAATAACTTAAGACTTATTAAATTATCTCAATAGCTTTCTCCCCTCCAGAGTTAAATGATCTGAATTCTTTGAACTTTTTCTCACAATCTCTGTTGTATTCCTTTTTATTTCTGCTATGTCCTCTCCTCCCCCGCTCCTGGCAGGAATTGAATCAGTAAGAGGGGTACTTTTTCTCACCTCCTACAACTTGGTCTCTTTTTAGTGGTTGCTAATAAAGGAAAACAAAAGTTTCACTATCTATCTGCTCATCATTATAACAAATGCACATGGGTAAACAACTTGCCCACAGCCAGTTTAGTCCCTACTTTTAGAGAGGTAAGTTCGCCCTTCACAAGAAGCATTTCCTGTGCCATCTTATTGACCCTTCTTATTGTTTATTTCTACTGTTTATCTTCAGTGTATGCTTTGATCTTGCCCACTAGTTCATTCCTTTTCCCCAAAACTCTAGAAAAGCCCAGTTTTAATCTACACACTCAATGAGAATGGACTCATTTTCATGATATTGTTCATAAAGAAAAAGCTAAACAATGTAGAGCCCAAGGCTGAGACCTACACTCCAGCACTCTTGTCTTTCCTGGTCGGCTTGGGTTACTAAATTTACCCTGTTAGGCAACTGTATGCCACTATGTCAAGTTCATGTTCAATATCACGCTAATATAGACTTGAGAGCTTGGCTAGAACCAAGTAATTCCCTTAATCTATACACATCGGGAACATTTGTAACATTTTGTTGATTTTAACCTTGGATTTTTACATTTTTGAGATAAGAATCTAAGCTTTAATAACTTTTCACCTTGATTAAGATGACATATTATATTAAATGTTGTATTATATTAAAGCACTCAAAACTGTTGTCTTTATAATAGAATGACAATCATGACATGGCTTTAGTGATTATGAATGGGTTAGCATATCATTTTAGCTCCACTTTGTTCTTCGGTCACTGAAACACAGATACTAAGCCAAATATACATATTTTTCATATATATAGCATTGTTCATACTAGTTGGTAGAATATAGGCCATCTCCTAAATTACATTCTACATTCCTAAAAGCAAATAAAACAAAAAAGTCTGCACATTTCTTCTTCAGTACAAAGCCTTTGAAAACAAAGTCATTCAGAAGTATAGTGCTCTACACTTAGCTAGCTGTCTATTATCTACAGTCATATGAGATCTAGCTATAGGAAAGGAAGTAATAAATTAACTATAGTGGCAATACAATAATTTGAAAATTATATTTGCACTATGGGTTCAACCAAATGTTAGCTGATAGAGCTGCAACAAACCATACCATTATTTACTAAATAGTCTAATCAGTTTAAATGTTATATTATTATGATTATTTAGGAAATAAACACTCTAATGCCAGTTATGTCCCATTAGCAATTTGTTTAGTACAATTACACCCAAGGTCTTGTTATTGTTACCTCTTAACTATACCACATGTGTTTAAGTATTCTGTGAGTTGTATAGGACAGGATACACTTTAAGAAAATAAAATAACATTAAATTAAATTAAATTAGTACTTCTCTCGTAAGACTTTTTTAGAAGACTGGAGAATCAACCAAAAGTGACCTTCCAAAATTTTTTTCCACACTGAGGGGCACCTGAGTGGCTCAGTCAGTTAAGCCTCCAACTCTTGGTCTCAGTTCAGGTCTTGATCTCAGGGTCATGAGTTCAAGCCCCACACTGGGCTGGCTCTACGCTGGGCATGGAGCCTACTTGAAAAAAATATGCAAAAATTTTTTTCCACATTGAAAGAGAAATACTCTTGGGATCAGAAATTCTACAGTAGCCAGCATGATATTAGAATAAACTGGACTTTAGTTTTAAAACATGTAGTTTTAGTGTTAGATAACACCTAAAATCTGGATATTTTATTTCTTAGTAAAATTAGCATTACTTCATCTGATAAATGAATAAATCTACTTACAAAAATGTAATTCCAAAGTCAGATTTTTAAATAAATTCAGAGCTCCTTTCTCAGTTCAGATTTTTTCTTTACCTGAAGGCTGTATTATTGACATTAATTCTTACAAGAAGATCCTTAAGCACAGTTACATTGAGTCTGATTTTATTAGGATTTTTATTTACATTCCTAAGATTTTTAAAGGGGCAAACTGATCTGATATAGAGGGGAAGCACCTACATAGTTTGGTCTGAAATAACTGTCTGAAAATTAACTGACTAAATCATATTCCATGCAGGAACACTGTTTTAATTCACACCATACCCTGAGAAGGCACCAAGAAATCTGACAAGAACGAAGCCACTAGGAGCATGGCCACTATTGTTTCACGTTTGGTAAACGTCAGAATTTTAAATACATACAATAAATTTACACTGCACCAAGAGCACCTGAAACCACATATGGTAACATCTGTTCTAAGCTAGAAATGCTAATACCCGATTTCAAATACTCTACACTTTTTTAAGTTAATACCTATGACGTAATAATGACCCTTTCCCATACTATGCTGGCAGCAATGCCATTTTCTTGTCAATTTTATAGACTAATTTCCTTAACTAACTCTATAACTATATAACATTTATCTGCCTTTTAAAAAAAACCGTGCTATACACAATTACAATAATGGAACTAAGCTTAATCACACTTCAATAAGAAAACTCACTTATGTATTGGTTTTTTTTTTTTTTCTGTTAAAGGAAGAACAAGGCGTTACGAGAATACTTTCAATGCAATGACATTTGTTCAAGATTATGAAAAAATTTGAATCCTTTCTCTCAAGACCATTTCCTTTCGAATTTATACAGTTTGTTGCGTCAGCCGACCAAAGGAAAGCAAATCAAAGTACAAAGGTACTTGGCCAGATGAGATAGAGAACGCTAACATGACTTCAACGCATGGAGTTCCGGGTTGTTCTGTTCTACGTGCCAGTGCAAAGTCATGGCGTAGAACGCCAGATCAGTCCATTTTTACTGGGCTCAAGAAAATTCTCAATCAGAGCTTCAATGAGTTTCCTCAATTCCTCTTCTAGGAAGGCAGTGTCGCTGAAGAGAAAGATGAAGAGTTTCGAAAGTCTTGATTTTCATCACTTTAAATTTTGTTTAAGTTGTTATAATTTTAAAAGGGGACGATTAAACACTTTGTAAACCAAAAAGAAGTTCACTCAGTTAAAACAAAACAAGACCAAAGGTGGGGAAAAAATCACACACAAGAAAACAACCATGATCACAAACTGAAGTTGAACCGCATTAAAGGGAGTTCCTTGGTACACGATACATGGATGAGTTTTGGTGTATCTACAGATTTTTCTCCTGGGTCAGGCAATTTAATGGTCCAGAACACCAATACCAGGTATTATGCTAAAATGGCTTCCTGAAATACTTTGAAGAACACCCATAGATATTATGGGATGATATGGCATGACTCAGATACAGAGGAGTGATGGGACTAAAAAAATAAGATGCTTAAAAAATAAATGGACATTTACACGTATGTGCTTCAAGGCATCACTGCTGTTGCCCAAAACATTTCTAGGAAAGCCTCTTTTCAACTGCCTTCATGGTCATTTGTTATTACCTTAATAATCATCCTTTATTTTTAATCAAATATAGCATTACCCAATTTGGTTTCCTTTAAACTCTACTCTGAATGACTTCAGGATGTCTTTTTTTTGCCCCCAAAGGGAATAAAATCTACTCTTAAATGCAAAGATTTAGGGACATACAAAATGATGTACCTTGGACTCGGAAGGCAATTCTAAAAAATCTCTTTCCCAAAATATACTGATCAGTGACATTATAGAAGGTACTACTCTTTTAATGAGTTTAAATAGCCTTTGAATATGTTTATTAAAGTCAATTTAGTGGCAATTCATACTCTTAAAAGGAAATAAATTGGGCAGATTAAGTCAAATCACAATAGATGTAAGAAATAAAGAAATTATTTGTTGATCATTTCTTTATGTTCATCATTTAATAGTTAAAGCTCACAAAACCTTCCCAGTAATAAAAATTCACTAAAATTTTAAAATTCAATTCCCAAATGGTCCAGCTGCTTTGGAAAATAGTCTGGCAGTTCCTCCGAAAGTTAAACATAGAACTACCATGTGACCCAGCAATTCTCCACCTACATATAGACCCAAGTGAAATGAAAACCTGTCCACACAAAAACTTGTGCACAAACATTTGTAGCACGGTTATTTGTAATATTAAAAATGTGGAAATAACCCAAATGTCCACCACCTGATAAAAGGATAAAAAAAAAAAAAGTGTTATATCTATACAACAGAATAGTATTAGGCCAAGAAAACAATTTAAAAAAAAAAATAAAGTGATTCGTGCTACAACACGGATGAACTTTGAAAACATTAAAGTAGAAGATGCCAGTCACAAAGGGCCATATGTTGTATGATTCCATTTATATGAAATGTCCACAATAAGCAAGTCAATAATGACAGATAGTAGATTGGTGGTTGCCTAGGGCTAAGATGGCAAGTGACTGCTAATGGGTATGGGACTTCTTTCTGAGGGGATGAAAATGTTCTAAAATTGTTCTAGTAAAAAAAATTTTGATTGTAGTGATCTTTGCACAACTCTGAATATACTAAAAACCACTGAACTGTATGCTTTGAATGGGTAAACTGTATAGTATGTGAATTTTATCTCAATAGAGCCTATATATATATATAAATATATAAATCTAAATATATATGTGTATATATATTTAAAAAGCCAATTCTTACCTCTGCTTGGGGGATGCACACATCTCTGCATAATACTTTATCTTTGGTTCTGTCCCACTTGTCCGAAGAGTAGCGACACAGCCATTTTGAAAAGTGAATGTAATCATTTGGCTGTTTTTACTTACAGGCAGCACCTATGCACAAGGTGAACAACAGCTGAGTTACACTCGGTACCTTTTTTCATTTTCAAGAGCTGTAAAATATACTCTACTTAGGTGAGGTACCTAAAGGAGTCAAAGTCATAGAAACAGGAAGTCGAAGGCCATTGGCAAGGGGTGGCGTAAGGGGGAAATGGGGAGTTGTTTAATGGGTATGGAGTTTCAGTTCAGCAAGATGAAAAAGTTCTGGACATCTCCTGCACAACAAGGTAGACAGAGTTAACACTATGGACTGCATGTTCAAAAATAGTTACAGTGGTAAATTTTGTTACGTGTTTTTTACAATTAAAAATATTTTTTGAAAATTATAAAATACAAAAGATTACATGCATAATAATTCATAAATATGCCATTTACTGAACATTTATAATCATACAGGCATTGGGTTATATACCTTACACACACGATCTCCAGGCCTCAGCAACAATCTTCCAGGGTAAATATTACTGCCAATTTACTGACATGGCTCAAAAAGAGTAAATGACCTGGTCAAGGTAATCAGCTAAAGTGGCAGAGCAAGAAGTTGAAGCCAGGTCTGTCTGTATCAAAGTCCAAACTGCCTCTACATTTGCAAAGGGCTTTATAAGTTCGAAGCTCTTTCTTTTTTTTTTTTTTTT